TGGTAGGCGATTTTTTCAGTACAGGTCGGGAGGGACGAGGGGGGAGGAGGGCGCTATGATGCGGTGCGATGTGATATTTCTTCCTTTTGCTTTATTTCGTTTGAGCGGGCCTGGCGAGGAGAGAGACGAGATGAGATGAGGGATGACTGCATGACATAAAATGAAATAGATGTGATACAGATTTTTTTCGCTAAGCTTCACTGTTGTTCAAGTTTGGTGTGGGTGTTAAGATCGTACTGTGGATGGTATTTCGTACTTGTGCCCTGATGGTAAGTACGTGGGGGATCAATAGGAATCGGAGTTGCACGGTGCAATCCATTCTCTTGCTCGGTGTCTTGGGAGACAGAGGGTGTGCTTTCTGGTTCTTTTTGGTGACCTGGGCGCGGTAGAAATGGAGCTGCGTGCAGTAGCCGGTGTTTTTGGAAACTGGAATATATCATTGGCCTTGATAGTAGAGCCTAGCGGAGGACATCCAAGATTTTATACTGGTTTTGCATGCGATTTCTTTATTAGATTTTCTCTCGCACCCTTTCGTTCTCTTTCCTGTCCCCCCCTCCTTACCCTGGGACAAGCTTTTATGTCCGATACGAGGAGTGAGAAAATATCCCTTCGGAGTTCGTGATTGGATATCCAGAACAGAGCCCCTGTGCCCTGGATGGTCCAGGCTTGCGTCTAATATCCCACTGGTATTTCCGGGGCGTTTGAGAGCATGACCGGTATTATATGTTATCCAAATCCAAGCGGGAAGTAGACCTGTACCTAAACGGCGCTGAACCGCCAGCAAAGTAGCATGTCCAAGAACCATTGCAGAAAATATTCAATGGCGTACGGTTGAAGGTGTTTTGCGGTCCTTGAGCATATATGTTTGTATTTAAAATCATCACAGCGTCCTTGCAGTAAGACTTAGTAGAGTTCCAGCTATGTCGAACGCTTTCATATATCCTTGAGGAAGATTAATCAAAGGGGGGGGGGTAGTGAATGTTGGTGATTGGCAGATCGTCTCAAACTCCATTTGAGAGAGTGCTAGGTTCTTCCGTTAATGGAGTATGATATTTGTGTCGGTGATATAAGACGTTCGCAAACGGGTCCCTTTGCGCCGCAGTAAGTTCTCAAGGCACCTGCCCGTGCCTGTATCTCTAAGTTGGCCACCGCCGCCACTGCTGCCAAGGCTTTCGATACAGTAGAATGTGATCCAAAGGTTTCGATCTTTTGATAGAATAAGGCTCCGGGGAGTGTTGAGAAAGTCGTAAGGTGGTTATCACCGATTGAACTCAAAGCTGCGCAGTCAACTGTTTAATGGAATCGACATCGAGTATCATACTATGCACCTTTAGGGCTTCCGGGATCCGAAGAGGCAGCGCAACGGACCAGGGTTAATGATAACTTATTATCATTCCTATTATCAAAGTCTGGATATCTGCGATAAGTAATCTGACAGCAAGCGCTGTGCTCCGCCGTAACTTTCGGATCTATACCCACTTAGTATACTTGAACGGGGAGCTCCTATTGCCGGTAGGGCGCTAGGGTGATTGGTCATCTTTGTTGGTGCGGGTAGATCCTAGGAACGGTGTGATAATACTCGTAACAGTGAACGGTGATTACAATGCTGCGCTAGTACTGGGGACTAGTCGCTCGAAGGGCGTGTGCGCGGATCAAGTACTGTACTTGTACATGCAAATGGCGTCTTTTTCCAACGAAGGAAGATTCTCATGTCGTGCTCTCAGATTGGTGGTATCATCTGGGAAACACGGAACGGGGATTATGAACACCACCCGCAGGGGTCCGGCCAGCACCATGACGGCGGGCTCATGCACAGTACGTTAAAGGAAAATTGAGTCAGGGAAATAAACAGGCTGCCCGCCGGCGCACCTTAACCCCAACATAATACCGATGACATCAATAAAATGTTGTAGATGCGTATCTCTACCTAAGCTAGGGCGAAACGAGCAGCGGACGCGCGGGATAATGAGGTTATTTGCAAATCCTGTGATCATAACCTTGATGATTACCGTACGCGAGTAGATTCGCCTCCCATTCACCCAGGCACATGTTGCCAAGCTGGTACTGGTTGGGGGTTTGCCAGAAAAGAAACCCCAATGCTATCTATTCGTAATGAGGGCGAGGAAAAGAAAAGGCTGCTTGCAAGGGTAAGGCACGAATTGAACCGAGAGGGGTGGAGGAGGAGGAGGAGGTAGAGAGAAGAAAAAAAAAAAAAGGAAAAAAAAAGAAGGCTAAGAATTGAACGATGTGTGATACCGTATGTTGCCACAACATAATCGATGGGGAAAACGTGTTGAGAAAATTAGAAAATATCATAGGAGGTGAAAAAAATGAGAAATTTTGCAGATTTTTCGTGTGTGGCGAGACGGGTATTGTCGGGTCTCTTGATGGTCAGGCGTTTTCACAGAGCGCCGCTTGTATCTTGTTGGACTGAAAGACCTTTTGTAATCGGGGGTGAGGTCGCACTGACTTGAGCGGTATTGTCACTTCTTCCTCTCTTTCCTTTCCGCAGTGGGTTCAAAATTTAATACCAAAATCCCACCAGGAATGTCAATGAATTCATGAATGAACAACACAACATAATTGCGAACGTCCAAGTTCCTTGCCACGGGTCTGGCGGCATCGCCCAAGTACCGTAGAGATTCGGATAGAGGGTGAATGTAGGACGTTGTACTCGAGCATCATACTACTGAGTAGTTGGCTCTTCTGCGGTAGTCGCATACCCTCTTTTCATGGTTTGGCGAGAATGAAAGACGGAAAGAGGTGAAGGGGAAGGAGAATCTAAACGAGCCTTCAATTCTGGGGAGAGAAGTGTTCTTATTAGGAGTCTACTGATTAGAAAGGAGGGAGAGGGCCGAGGATATTCCGGACCGGTACTTCAGTGTGGTGTTTTTTCCGATGTATTTTCGTCTGAACAGAGGATCTATTATATCGTGGTTTACCGAGTACCGGTACTTTCCACAAAGATATGTAGGGTAAAGTGTCGGGATGATGAGAAAATGGTCGGACGAATTGTCTCAAGTTATGCCCAGTATTCTCGTAAATGCTCTCAATGTCACCTTCAATCATATTTGGAGGGGGTCGTGGGCAGGGGTTATGGGAGGGGGGCTTGCCCAGTGTGGTCATCACTGTTTGATAAATACTTGAGTCCTCTCTGCTCTGTTTCTCCCTCTCCCTCTCCCCTCCTCTCTCATCCCTCACGGCATCCCTCACAGCACCCTTCTATTTTCATCAATACTCCGCTATTTCCCCCCAAACATTTTACTCGCTTTACACTCCAGTAAGTACCTCTTGTTTTGCCCTTCTCGAAGCACCGAGTCATCCAAATCCTCACTCCGATACTTCCTTCCATTTCCCTGTGATAATTGTTTGCGATAATCCGAATCCCCTTCTGCCTACTACCTCTTCCTATAGGCTCCGTTCACTTGGTATCGGGAAATTAATAAAATATATAGGGTTCTCAATTCAAAATGGCCGTCCCCATTGGTATTAAGTAAGTTTCAAAAATTTTCACGGTAGATGATTAAGGATGATGCTAATAGTTATTTTTCTAATCCCAGCGGCTTTGGTCGCATCGGACGTCTTGTATGTTCATCCGTCTAACCTTTTGATTATCCTCCATCCGTAGATAATTCTTTCACCGGATGAATATTTCTGGCTTACTTTTGTGGTAAATATCGTAGGTCCTCCGTAATGCGTAAGTTTTTACCCCACCATCTTTTTCTTATCTTTTTCTTATCGTTGTTACCCCATCGACGGGGCAACTTGTGGGATCGTCATGGACAAAAAAAAAGAAATTATACTAATCAGTGCTACCAACGAAACAGCGCCGAACGCGACGACGTCAGGGTTGTAGCTGTTAACGATCCCTTCATCGATCCTAAATATGCGGTAAATACTTCAATTTCTCGGCTGAGAGTTAATATTTAATACAAATAAGAATAATCTAACAAGATCTTAGGTCTACATGTTCAAGTACGATTCCGCTCATGGAAATTTTAAGGGAGAGGTTAGCACCAACGATGCTGGCGACTTGGTTGTCAATGGAAAGACTATCAGGATGTACTCCGAGAGGGACCCTGCCAATATCCCATGGGGAGCTGCTGGTGCTGAATACGTCGTTGAGTCTACTGGTGTTTTTACTACCACCGAAAAGGCGAGCGCTCACTTGAAGGGCGGTGCCAGGAAGGTTATCATGTTTGTCCTCTGATGACCCACAATATATCGAATGTTATTGCTAACACGGACTTGTAGTTCGGCTCCTTCTGCCGACGCTCCCATGTTCGTTGTTGGTGTAAACTTGGATAAATATAACAAAGACATTACTGTTCTCTCCAACGCGTCCTGCACTACCAACTGCCTTGCACCTTTGGCCAAGGTTTTGAATGACAAATTCGGTATCGTTGAGGGTCTTATGACTACTATCCATTCCTACACCGCTACCCAGAAGACTGTCGACGGTCCCTCGTCTAAGGATTGGCGCGGTGGGCGTACCGCTGCTACCAATATCATACCAAGCAGCACTGGCGCCGCCAAGGTGAGAAAAGAAACCATCCGCAAACCCTAGTTCAGAACAAGCTATATGCTCAACTTTTTCCTTGTAGGCTGTTGGTAAAGTCATTCCAGAACTCAACGGAAAGCTCACCGGAATGGCTATGCGTGTTCCAACTCAGAATGTCTCTGTTGTGGATCTCACTGCTCGTCTCGAGCGGGGAGCCACTTATGAACAAATCAAGGCTGCCATCAGGGAGGCAGCCGAAGGCCCTCTCAACGGGATCCTCGCTTACTCTGAGGATGAGCTTGTTTCCACTGATCTCAATGGCCACAACGCCTCGTCTATCTTCGATGCTAAGGCCGGTATCTCTTTGAATGACAACTTTGTCAAGGTTGTTAGTTGGTACGATAATGAATGGTAAGTTCAAGTCCGGTGTCCGCCCGTTATTCCCGTTTCCTTGTTACAAGAGCTAACTTTCTACAGGGGCTACTCTCGTCGTGTTTTGGATTTGATCTGTTATGTCGCCAAGGTTGATAAGCAGTAAATGTGTTACAGTAGGCTGTCTTTAGGTAGAGGAAGTCTTTTATTTTTCTAATACCAAACAAAATTAGAACCAAGGCGATTTCCCCAATCTCCTCTCTTGCTTTCCCTTCTTCCCTCCGCAATTGCTCTTCTGTGAAAATTCAGATATTATGTAGATGGTGTCAAACTTTCCTCATAATATCCACCAAGACCGTCACAACGCATCATTCGTCTCTTAATACTCTTATAGTGTGGAAGTGGACGGGAGCAGGCTTGGGGAGTGGTGCCATCGAAACACACTTTTGATTTTGCCATAATAAGTTGGCCAATGACTCAGGCGCAGCGCCGGAGTGAAAACTGCAGTGGGGAGGGAGGTATCGATCTTCTCATCAAGTATTAGATCGGCACCTTCCTGGCCCTGCCCAGGTCCTCAGATCCCTAGAGCTTAGTCTAAGGTAATTCACAGTAGCCAGTGACCAGAAGTACTACCGCATTTGAGCTTGGCCTTAGTCTACCTCTTAAGATCATAGTACAAGTTTGATAAGCTCACCGAAACTTGTGCGTCTGATCGCGGAGATAGCGCTGGCCTGTGTTATGCTATATGTTGGTAAGTTAGTACAAATTCTGGACCGGAATTCCACGAGCCACATATGGCAATAGCTATCGAGTTGTGTGCACCTATGATACGAAATGCAATTATCCTTGTGGCATACAAACCCAATACAATTTGAGGTAAAGTAGACAATAGACAGGGAACCTTTCACCCATATCCCTACACCCCGCCCCCTTTCAACTATTTTACCGAAAATCAGACCCCCAAACACTCTTCATCAAACAACTTCTCCCCCCACCCCTTCTTCGAGTACCTCAAACACCACCTCTGTCCTCGGCGCTCATTGGAATCCCTCCCGAACGCAACAATCTCCTCCCCACCGCTAAACTCCTCATCCCCGGATCTCCCGAGCGTATGATAACAAAAGTAATGCAGCGCCCTCCCAACATTCGCCATCTCAGTGTACCAATCGCAAATGGATCTCTCGCCACGGTTCAGATTGGTGAACCGCCAATCCGCCGTCCAGGGCCGGCGATAGTCCACGAACTCGACCATCTCGCCGGGCGCAAGGCAGGTCTGGTTGAACAGCTGACTAACCCCCCAGAACAGATTCGAGTACCTGTTCTGCGGCAGTCGTCGGGAATCCGGGAGGTACTCGCAGCCGTAGGACACGATCTGGTGTTTCTGCTGAGAGTCGCGGAGTTGCTGCGCGTAGTCCACCGCCTCGCTGATTATGCTGCCGCGCTCAGCGACTCGTGCATCGCCGGCCTGGGAGCCCGCCGGGTGGTCCCAGGGTGGCGGTAGGCGGATTGGACCCCAGGTGTGGTCGGAGTAACTTTTAGAGGGTGCAGGGCTGCGGGAGATGGAGGGGGAGGGCGGGAAGGCACAGGTGTACCGATGCTCGACGAATAGTGGGCCGAGGTTGTCGTGGTACGTGTATGTTCTTGTGAGCTTGCAATAAGAGCGCTTGCCGGCGCTGCCGAGGATTTCCGTGGGGAAGAGGAGGAGCAGAGATGTGAGGAGGATGTTGAAGGTGGACACCATTGCCACTGTTCTCACTGCTACAGCTGACACTATGGTACACTACTCGAGTACCGCTAGCATATGCCACACTATGCTGAAGAACTAATGGAGGCCCAGAAGAGCAGGGAGAAAAAGGCGGGTAGGTGGGAATAGACCACCGCACTCGAGTACTCGAGTAGTCCTGTTTTATGTCTGATTTGGTAACGGTAATGCTTTGCTTTTGCGACTTTTCGACGCCACCACGGACGTTATCTGTCAAGAGGAAAGGGGAGGAGTGGGTAGGAGGCTGATTGGTTGGGGCATGATAAGCGCTTTGATTCTTGCGATGATACATACTTGAGTACAGTACTGTACAGTACCAGGGTGAGGTTAATAACCCAGACACTCTCCAAACGCCAGGCCGGTAAACTTGAGATATCAACGAAACCAGCGAATTTACCAGAGGTCTGAGATTATAGATCGGTCCGCAGTGTCCTAATTACTCAAGAACATATATATCTTAAACTTTTAAGGGTTTTCGAGAGGCGATGAATCCCGTTGTCAAAGTCACTTTTCTGGTTCTTTTTCTCGTCGCATGTTCTAAGGTCTCCAAGTTGTTAAGCTCAAGGCCTGCAATCGCACTGTTGCAGCCGGTATGCCATGCTGTGCGAGTTGACGAAACGCGGCCACCCGTACGTTGGAGGCCCACTGCCTGTTGCTTGCATGTCATAATGTTTGTTGATTTGATACAGAGGTCCATTTGCCTGCATTGGAGTTCGTCAAGTTGCCTGGATCGAACTTGAAGGTATGATATCATAAAGGATGCTTTGTGGAGATGTTGGTGTGGAGAGGGTATGGGTTTACTGGCTGTCATAGTGTTTTGTAGGGGTATTTTCCTGTAGAATTTCCTATCATATCATAGAGAGTTGGCATGTGAAGGTTTTCATATACTATATAAGCATTTTGTTCTCTATTTCCTTCAGAGGACATTGTGCAATGAAGACCCGAACACTTCCAGGTAACAAGGCACTAGACGATGTTTTTGTTCTAAGTTGTATTTTTTTCATCTCTTTTTCTTCTTCCCTCCCGGCCATGTTACACGGTCATCCTTCCAGATTGATTTCCTACAACTTATCTCACGGCATACCAGGAGGCCATAGAGCAAGTCAAATTCCACAAGCACAGCCCGGTTGAACACATCATCCACAAAAGAGAGTCCATCGAAAACTCCCACATCAGTACTGTAGATACATGGTGGAGTGGCCCCCAGGGAACCCGCCTCGGAGCAACCTGAATGACTAATAGGCACACGAGCAGCTATCCCCAGCAGTGGTGACAGCGCCGAATTCCTCCACATTTTGATAAATACCAAACAGTGGTGTTAAACCAATACTCCAAGAAATCATCATACCGACTGGTCTGGCATAGAGTAATATCAGCTGCAGGAAACCCGTTGGTTTTCCCTTCTTCACTAAGCTCTCTGCAGTTATCAACCCTGCTCTGGTAGCTCACCCGTTTCTGAGCCCCAGTGCGTGTCTAAAACTACAATGTCGAGAAACAGCCGGGTTCCCGGCATTCCTACTAAGCGGTGCTCCTTAAAATGCGGGGAATTTGACAAAACCACAACTGCAGGGGATAGTTGAATGATGGGTATCACCGACAAAGTTCTAGATCCTTGACGCCCTAGAGCAGGCCAGGGGATCACACTGTGGTAAGGTTTAAGGGACATCCAAAATCTTGCCTCTAATCCAGTACCACGCAGACGCTTCTAGTTATAGCAGCTTCACTTATTTACCCACTCGTCCCCACGACGAACATAATCTTTTTCTCATATAAAATCAGTTGGTGAAATAATATACTATTCTAAAACAAATGACCCGGTGCAGGTAGCCATTACACCAGGAAGCATACAATAGGAACAACTTCATAAAATCCAACTTAACTTACCCCGAATTACCCATCTGGTTGCCAAGTCACTTCCTGTTTTATCATTTGAAACACAATCCTCCAAGTGTTTCCGTAGGCATAACCAGGCCTACCAAGAGGATATAGCAAGTCAAGATACAGCTACCCTATCGCACCGATACGGTGGCCGGTCCCAAATAAGTTTCTCACGAGCACCGCGTGGGGTCATCATAAATTCACTCATGAATTATCACTCGGATCGGAATTCCCTCCCCCTCCTCTCCGGGAGAGTTCGGGTAAGGCACTTTTGCCCTGTGCGTGTATTAAAAAAAAATTTTCCGAGAAGAGAGAAAATCCCCGTTTCGATAGGAGGTCTCGTTCCGTATCATAATGATATTGTTACGATTCCAGTAATGCATTTTTTATTATTTTCTTCTATCGTGAGAGATTTATTTTTCTAATGTGGCGGGTCTTGCCACTAAATTTGCTCTTGTATCTGCGGCTTCCTGCACCCCTCGGCTGTGGCACTTTGTACTCGAGTAGCGGTTTAAGCCCATCAAACTTACTGCACCGGTACCTTGCTGGGTCCCAATCAACATTTCCCGCGAGACTGTGCCACAGTTTACACAGGAGGAGTAATTCCCAGAATGCGAGGGTTAGGCTTCTTCTCCAAGTGCTCTTTATCTGATACTATAGAGCTGGGCATAAACTGTTTTGATTATCATAGAAATAACACAATGGCTTCGAAATAACTACGCCGTTGCATTAGTCAAACGAAGGATGTCGAATGCCGGCGGTTTTCTGGCTAGTGGATGCATGCAGAAAGACCTTGTCCCGGACACCGCGTTATTGTCGACCTCACTGTGCCCCCAAAACATTTTTGTGCCCAACGAAAAACCTCATTCCACCTGATAGCGCTGCCCCTTCGTCTCAACCTCCGAATCCCTCTCAACCCATTCTCCCACCATCCTCCTACTCCCCACACCCCTTTCCTCATCCTCCCCCACCGATCCGGCTCGGAATTGATCCATTTGCAATGATGTCGGCTACTGTGGTTCTTGGTAGAGCATCGTTGCGCAGTGTTTCTGTTTGCTTGAGGGGCGGTGGTATTAAGAGTGCTGGATTATTGAGACTGTAAGTTATTTTTTTACTTTACCGCTTTTGTTTCCCCCTCTATTATCTGATTTTTTTTTTCCGGAACGAGAGGGGAAGTCTGTATGAGGAATCTTGGATGTAAAGCCCGGATGGTTGATCCACATGCCAAAATTTTCATCCCGGGGGGCATGAGTATCAATTGAGGAATCTACAGTAGCTTACAATTTTTTTTTCTTTCCCTCTTCTCTAGTCGAAGCCAACCCCAATCGCTCTCCTCACTGCTTTCCAGATACTATGCGTCAAAAAGTATCTCCCCACCCTAACCAAGCTTGAGAGGGAAAAAATTGACAAATTTCTAATAGCATACCCCCCTCATACTGTTGTTACCATGCCCGCTCTGTCCCCTACCATGACTTCGGGGAATATTGGCTCATGGCAGATGAGCGTTGGTGATACCATTGCTCCTGGTGATTCCTTGGTTGAGATCGAGACGGATAAGGCTCAGATGGACTTCGAATACCAGGAGGATGGCGTCCTGGCTAAGATCCTGAAGCCCAGTGGGTCTACAGACGTTGCCGTTGGAAATGTAGGTTCAGTTATACACCTTGTGCACATACTGCTTACTGGGATGTCCACGGGTCGTACGACTTTCGTCTCAACTAGTTGGGTTATAATGACGTACTAATATGGTGCCCTGCAGCCGATTGCTGTCATCGTTGAAGACGGGACAGATATATCTGCCTTTGGAGACTTTACCGTTGAAAGTGCTGAAGGAGGGGCCGGGGCTCCCCCGCCGCCCGAGGGGGAATCTCTGGATTCTCCCGAACTCCCCAAGTCTGAGGAGCCAGCTTCTAGCGGGGGCAGACTAGAAACTGTTTTGGAGCGTGATGGAAGAATCATTGCTTCCCCTCTCGCCAAGAAGATTGCATTGGAGAAGGGAATCGCGTTGAAAGGCATTAAGGGGACTGGAGAAGGCGGTCGCATTACCAAATATGATGTCGAGAATTACGAATCGACTGGAATTTCCTCTGCGTCCGGCATGCCTGCTGTTGTAAGCACTGATATTCCGTTGACATCTATGCGCAAGACAATTGCATCTCGTCTCCAGGCTTCGAAGAACACCAACCCTCACTACTACGTCTCAGCTTCTCTCTCTGTGAGCAAGCTTCTCAAACTCCGCCAGGCTCTCAACACCTCTGCCAAGGGAGAATACAAGCTTTCTGTTAATGACTTCCTAATTAAGGCTGTTGCCAATGCATTGCTCAAGGTTCCCACTGTCAACTCTTCTTATCGTGAGGATGAGGGTGTCATTCGCCAATTCTCCACCGCCGACATTTCTGTTGCTGTTGCTACCCCGGTTGGCCTGATGACTCCCATTGTCAAGAATGCCGACGCCAGAGGTTTGGTTTCGATCTCTAACGAGGTCAAGTCCCTTTCTGGAAGAGCTAGAGATGGAAAGCTTAAGCCCGAGGAGTACCAAGGGGGTACTTTTACCATCTCAAACATGGGAATGAATCCCGCTGTTGAAAGGTTCACTGCCATCATCAACCCCCCACAGGCTGGAATCTTGGCTGTCGGAACTATTAAGAAGGTTGCCGTTGAGGGCAAAGACGGAGGTGTTGAATGGGACGAGCAGATTGTTGTTACTGGATCCTTCGATCACAGGTAAGCACGAAGATTGTCCCCATATTATGAATGCAAAATGATTAATTATTATTGTTTGCACTTTTAGGGTTGTAGATGGTGCCGTTGGTGGGGAATTCCTTAGAGAACTCAAGAAGCTCATTGAGAGCCCCCTAGAAATGCTCCTATAGGAGTTCTCTTTGCCCAATTCTCATTTCCCTTTCCTTCACCCCGTCAAGTAGGTTAATCTCATGAATTGGTGTCACGAGTTTTGCATAGACGAAGTAAACTAGTAACGATAACCAAACGCATCCGAATGCTGTCAATGGTGGGAGCGTGTTTCCTCGGTATGGCTGTATAATCCATCACTATTTCCCTTCTTTTTTCTCTTCAGATTTCCTTGCTTTTTTCCCCCCCTTTTTCGCATTTCCTTGTACCGGTATTTCATTTCGCGCTCCGTTTATGATGCGATATGTTTGCAGCAAGGACAGCGTGATGGTACCTTTTTTCCTTCTATCATATGCATCCAACGAGAACACACTTGCTCTGCCTTTTTCGTCGCATCAAATGCTAGTGGTTAAAACGTTCCAGCGAATTGATATTATCATAGGGATTTTTTTTTTTTTTTAGAAAAAAAAAAGGTGACATTGACACGGGGAGGGTGATGTGTCCTTTACTGTGTTTTAAGTTCGAGAATCGGAATGGTCTTTTTTAACGTACTTGTACTTACTCGAGTATAATGGTATCGTATATCGTAGCCTTACGATTATTGTCCTGTATGGCCGCCCGAGAACTTGTCGCAATTGCCATGTCGTCTGCCCCCATCAGACCCTAACTGATACCCGCATAGTGGAGGAAAGGTTTTGGGGCTTATGTAAACTGGTGCGGATTTCAGAAACAAGTACCGTAGTCTAGGCATGAGCAAAAAGTTAGTAGAAGGTGGCCACTCAATCTCTGTGGCACCTTAGGGAAAAAAATAACAATATCATAGCCAGCACGGCTGTGGAAGCTCTCTCTCCTCTTCCTCTTCCCCTTCCTTCACTTTCTGTCGTGCGCCATCCATCTTCGGTAATCTCTTAGATACGGGTGTCCATCCCATTCCTTCCTCCTCTTCTCCCCTTTTCTTCTTATTATTCTACCTATTCCGCCTCGTCACTTTCTCTCTTATTGCTGGGGGTATTTCCTACTTTTCGGTTCCCTCTTTCCTAGCATCCTTAACTCTTTCAATAGAGCCTCAAGATAAAATCTGGGACATCTGCAAATATTCCCGTAGTGGGATATTTCGCTGCCCCATCGACCCTCTCGCCATGTGAGCTTTATCTCTACCGGTGTTCCCAATAGTTCGCCTTCGTCCGCTAACATTCACCAGGGCGATTCTGGTAAATTCGCCCCAGATTGCTTCGGCATCTTTACTTAATCCGTTACCGCCACTGTTCCGATTGTACACATGGCCTTTCCTTGCAATCTACCCGGCTTTTTTTTCAATTTACTTTCCCTCTGCTAGTTATCAGAAGTATCTGGGCAGCCAGGAGTGGACTGTCCTCTATTTTGGTACTATCTTGAGTATTCAGGCGCTCATTTGGTTAGGATGTCATTGGAGTATTGGTTGGAAAGCCTGGATCACCGGCATCAAGGTATGGGACCCAACAACGGAACCGGGGAGTAGGTTACTGACGTGTGCTGCGCTGGCGTAGGCTTCTAGAGTTGAAGATGCGAAATTGATCAAGGTCATTCCGGTAGAGAATGCCGGAAGCCCGGATATTTGTGAATTGACCCGCGACAGAGTGAGTGCAAGCCTTTAGAAGCACATTAGATGCGCAGCATGCTTTCGGCGGTTTACTGACATTCCCTCTAGAGCAGTGGAAGGGAAGAGATATCCTTCTTGTTTCAAAAACGTCGCTTTATCTACTCTCCAGCAACTGGCTCGTTCTCTCCTCTGGTATACCCTGTTGATATTGAGCCTAAACCGAGGCTCGAGACTTTCCAGGGTGCCCAGGGAATTAGTGAAAAGGATGTTGGCCACTTGTTTCGTCATTATGGAACTAATTCTTTTGACATTCCCGTACCCACTTTTACGGAGCTCTTCAAGGAGCACGCTGTAGCGCCATTCTTCGTCTTCCAGATCTTCTGCGTTGGTCTGTGGTGCTTGGATGAATACTGGTACTACTCTTTGTTCACGCTCTTCATGCTGGTCGCTTTCGAATCTACGGTAGTTTGGCAACGTCAGAGAACTCTGAATGAGTTTAGGGGCATGAGCATCAAGCCATATCCTATCTATGTTCATCGGAGTGGAAAATGGAAGGAGATCCAGTCTGACCAGCTTCTTCCCGGCGATCTTGTGTCTGTTGGCAGGACTAAGGAGGACTCTGGTGTTGCCTGCGACATGATTCTTATTTCTGGAACTGCAATTGTCAACGAAGCCATGCTTTCGGGAGAGTCAACTCCTTTGCTGAAAGACTCTATTGCCCTTAGACCCTCCTACTCTGAGATTGATATTGAAGGAACGGACAAGAACGCTATCGTTCATGGCGGTACCAAGGTTCTACAAATTACACACAATACTTCCTACCCCGATGACGCCCCACTGGAAAATACACCTGATGTAAAACCCCCGCCGGATGGTGGCGCTCTTGCTGTTGTCACTCGCACCGGTTTTGAGACCAGCCAAGGATCCCTGGTCCGCACTATGATTTACTCCACTGAGCGTGTCTCTGCCAACAATGCTGAAGCTTTACTGTTTATCTTGTTCTTGCTCATGTTCGCTATTGCTGCGAGTTGGTACGTCTGGACCGAAGGTATTCAGAAGGATCGTAAGAGGAGCAAGCTCTTGTTGGACTGTGTTCTGATTATCACTTCTGTTGTTCCTCCGGAGCTTCCTATGGAATTGAGCTTGGCTGTGAATACGTCTTTGGCAGCTTTGGGAAAATACGCCATTTACTGCACCGAGCCTTTCAGAATTCCGTATGCTGGAAGGGTTGATGTTTGTTGCTTTGACAAGACTGGTACATTGACTGGCGAGGATTTAGTAGTCGAAGGTATTGCTGGTTTAAATGGCGGAAAGGCCGGGATTGAGAAGCTCAAGAAGGTTGGAAATGCCGGCAGAGAGACTACACTAGTTCTCGCTACCGCTCATGCACTTGTCAAGCTTGATGAGGGTGAAGTTGTTGGCGATCCCATGGAAAAAGCTACTCTCAACGCGCTCGGATGGACCCTTGGAAAGAACGACACTTTAACAAGCAAGGCTACTAGCTCAGCTCCCGGGACTAGCTTCGCCGCCCCTGCAGGTATTGTACAGATCAAGAGACGTTTTCAATTTTCATCAGCATTGAAAAGACAGAGTTCTGTTGCTTCGGTATTACTCAACCATCAGGGAAAGAAGAGTAAGGTTACCTTTGTCGGGGTTAAGGGTGCTCCAGAAACTGTCCGGAATATGTTGGTTGAAGTGCCTGCCGATTACGAGGAAACTTTCAAATGGTTCACTCGCCGCGGATCTCGTGTGCTCGCTCTTGGATACAAATATCTCTCTAACGACAGCGAGTGGGGCCAGAACAAACTGAACGCTTTGAAACGAGAGGAGGTTGAGCACAACCTGATATTTGCCGGTTTCTTGGTTCTGCAGTGCCCTCTCAAGGATGATGCGAAGAAGACTGTTAGGATGTTGAACGAGAGCAGCCATCGCGTTGTCATGATTACCGGAGATAACCCCCTCACGGCCGTTCATGTTGCAAGGGAGGTTGAAATTGTTGATCGTGATGTTTTGATCTTGGATGCGCCTGAGGACGACAAATTTGGAAATAGTAAGTTTGATTGTTTTCTCCTCTCAATATTTATAACAAGTGCTAATCTGTCCTTAGATTTGGTGTGGAGGTCCGTTGATGAAAAAACTATTATCCCGGTTGATCCCAGTGACCCGATTGACAAGGAGATTATTGCAACCAAGGATATCTGTGTGACTGGTTATGCTTTATCTAAGATGCAAGACCAACCTGATGTTGTAGATCTGCTAAGACATACCTGGGTTTATGCCCGTGTCTCCCCCCTTCAAAAGGTTTGTCGCCACTCCTAAAGGTATCTTTGCACTGAAATCGTGCTAAATGGCTACTTGCAGGAGTTTATTCTCAACGGATTAAAGTCCGCAGGCTACACAACATTGATGTGCGGAGACGGTACAAATGACGTTGGAGCATTGAAACAGGCGCACATTGGTGTTGCCCTCCTAAACGGATCAGAAGAGGACCTCCGACGCATCTCGGATCACTACCGTACCACTAAATTTAAGGAGATGTATGAGAAGCAAGTGCAATTGACCAAGAGGTTCAATCAAATTCCACCACCGCCCCCGGTCCACATTGCTCATCTATACCCTCCTGGTCCCGGAAACCCGAACTATGAAAAGGCTGTTGAGAACGAGGCTACTAAGCGGGGTGTTACCAGGGAGAGCATTCTGGCTAAACACCAACCTGAGACCCCAACAATTGTCACACCAGGTGCTCGCGCTCTGCAAAACTCTAAACCTACCAAGGAGCAACAGGGTGCGCAACAGGCTGCAAAGTTCGCGGATAAGATGATGGCACAGGTGATGGAGGCTGAGGAGGACTCTGAGCCACCGACCATTAAACTTGGAGATGCTTCAGTAGCTGCCCCATTCACCAGCAAACTGGCCAACGTCATTGCCATCGCCAACATCATCAGACAAGGGAGATGTACGCTCGTGGCTACCATTCAAATGTACAAGATTCTGGCACTGAACTGCTTGATCTCGGCCTATTCTCTTAGTGTGCTTTATCTCGACGGCATCAAGTTTGGAGACGGACAAGTCACCATTAGCGGCATGCTGATGAGCGTTTGTTTCTTGAGTTTGAGCCGAGCAAAACCCGTCGAGAAGCTCAGCAAGGAGCGCCCTCAGCCAAACATCTTCAATTTCTACATCATCGGAAGCGTTTTGGGACAGTTTGCCGTGCACATTGTTACCTTGATTTATATCTCGAAATATGTAGCCAGGGTTGAACCGTAAGTTCAATTTTTCCGGTTGGCTATTATGGATTCTAATGCTAACTATGTAAATAGAAGAGACGATAACGTCGACCTCGAAGGGGAATTCACCCCCAGCCTCCTCAACTCCGCAATCTATCTCCTCCAGCTGATCCAGCAAATCTCCACCTTTGCCATCAACTACCAGGGCCGACCATTCCGCGAATCCATCAAGGAAAATAAGGGAATGTATTGGGGCCTTATCGGCGTTGCTGGAGTCGCCTTCTCCTGCGCAACGGAATTCATACCCGAACTCAACGAGAAGCTGAAGCTTGTCCCCTTCTCAAACGAGTTTAAATTAAGAATGACCACCGTCATGATACTAGACTTTGGCGTCTGCTGGGCCATAGAGAAGTGCCTGAAGTTCCTGTTCAGCGATTACAGACCGAAGGATATTGCCGTTAGGCGACCGGACCAGGACGCTGCTGAGTTAGAGAGATTAGAGAAGGAGCTTGCGGAAGAGTTGATTGTTCCGGTCAAGGATGCCGGAAGGTAGATTTGTGGGGGGAATGGGTTTAAGTTCTTTCCTAGACTCTGCTTGCATTTGTTGAGAGTCATATATAATTAGAGCTTTTGTCAATGACAAGGGGTTTCGTTTTCATTCTTTCTTGATTCTTTCCTACTTTTTCTTCTTCAATGTTTTCACCCCTTGTAACATTAGTCTACAGGCCGTGACTGTGTAAATAATTATCCGTCAAGTTAGTTGTGAGTGGGAGTGGGTTTAGTTTCTTATATTTTGACGCCTCTCTGTCTGAGCTACTGTGGCTTCAGTGACTGCTGTGTTTCGAAGGAGCAAAGTGAACATGACCGTAGATTCCGTAGCGTCCGGAAATGAACCCCTCCCCCCAGACAGACTACGGAAAAGAAAGAGACCCTTGGGTCTTAGGGACTTTTATTATTTTTATTTTTACATGCTATTGGTGCTGCCATCGTACGACGTCCTGTGTACTCGTGCGGTATGTACTATACGCCCGCACGTTGTGGTAGGGTACGGCGTGGTACCCGTTGCGCTTCCTACCGCGATGGCTATGATACTATAAAAATCACATGGCAGGTTTTCGATTGTGCTGTGTGTAAGAAAGAGTAGATGATAGGATAACTAGGAACGGGGTTTTCTCTTCTTTTCTTTTTTTTTTGTTTGATGCCGGTTGAGGGCGGATGTGCTGCTGTATATTCCTGATTCCGGCTGTATGATATATAGGTAAGTGGTTGCGAGGGTCCAGGCCGGGGGGGGGTCACGGTGTTTGGTGAAGCTCTTGAATGTGATGAAGATGGACGGAGGCTGGAGGTGAGTGGGAGAAGTGATATGGGAGGGTACGGTAGTTTTATTGATTGTGGGTTTCGAAATTGTTGAGACATAGGTATGTATCCGGTGATGTTTGGTTGTGAATACTGAACAATGTCATGTAGACCGTGTGAGGGCTCAGCGAGGCGGCACCCTCAGCGAGGCGCGGCAAAGCTTGGCAAGACTTGGCATCAACAAAACTGAACATAATTTTTTCTTGTATACAAGACAACAGTTTCTTCCTTTCTCTTTTCCTATCAACTTACCCCACCCCACCACACCAACAGACACAATTGTCTTCGGAGAATTGATTTCTCTTGAAGGCAGCAACAACAACGTAAGCGATTAGTCCACTGGCTCCGCAATGGGAGCAGGGGCTCTATCAGTCCCTGCTTCCTGTACCTCTTCCAACCTATCTTCATGTTCTTGATGGTCAAAATCACTTTCCATTTCATCTCCTTGATGACCTGCAGACATCCTAGTTCCTTCAACATTCTTCGCCATTTCTTCCAGGTGTTTTTTAAATTTCTTTACCTTTCGTTCCACTTCAGCAATCTGTTCGGCAAGGCAACCTTCTTCCTGCAGTAATTCTGCTCCTGTCTTCTGCCGCTTCAGTAATCTTCCCTCCTCTTCCAATCTTTCTGCATCCCTCTTCTTTCTTATGCATTCTGCTAACTTTTGTTTCCTAATTGAAACTAGGATTGTTGCATTGTGGTACTTCTGCTGTGCTGTTTCACGTTCCTCGGTGGATTGAGATTCGAAAAACTGGGCAATGTCCTCACGATCTATCCATACTTTCCCCATTGTCGGTATTCTCAAACGATTGGCTGTTCGTTTGTGTTGAGTTTCAGTTAACTGTTTTCGTAGGTTCTCAATCTGGCGATTCTTTTTATCGAGTTCTGTTAGTGCCCAGTTTGCACTTATAGCGATATTACTAACAACTCTTTTTAGTCCCCAATTAATCGAATCATTCGTTGGCAGTGATTCAAGTGCAATCAACTCTTGTTGCTCGATTTCGGCTTTACTGAGAGGTACTTTAAGATGGTTGATTTGTAGCGCAAAGAATGTACTTAACGGCTGAGGATCAGGCAATATGGAATGGGTCTGAGATGTTGTAACAATCCCTCTTTGGATAGTTAGTTCTTGGTGACAGGGAATGATACTTCGCGTTTATGTCTTTTTCTTCCTTTCGTATTACGATAGCTCTAGGCCTCTGCCTGCATTACCGATAGTACAAGACTTTTGTCTTCTATCGGGAATGCATATCGTAAGCTTTCTCTAACTCGTCTTCGGGAAGAGCCTTCCTTGGCGTAATGATAACGTTGCAATAAAGATAAAGATCGTAAAGGTGTTTTATATTCGTTAAAGTAATAAGTAGGAAAAGTACTTAAAATAAAGCGTGAAGAATCTATCTTCCTCGGCCGCATCGGCCTCCTTATATAGTATTCTTTCCACCCGTAGTCATGTGACCTAAAGTGGTCACATATGCGAAACCAAATCATAATGCAATAAACTAGTCATATAACTCGACTGAGTCATATGCGTGAAACCCATGACCTCATAACAAGATCATGTGCGAAACATAAATCATATGCGTAAGGCTTACCCGCAAGGCACACTTGCAAGGCATACTGACCAGGCGCATGTCCCATGACTCATATTTGAGCCATGTGCGAAAGCATCACAAATTTCACACATAACAAATCATATGACCCGAATGAGTCATATGTGTAAAACAATAACATACCTGTAACTCATAACTATGCGTCACGTGAAAACCTCTTTCATGCCAAGCCACGTTCATGACCGATGTAGTTGAATTTGGTAAACTGAGATTGCTGTTAGGAGGTCTCAGTTGTGTAGCTTCAATTTTTGAAATTACAAGGCTTCTGTCAACTGGAAAAAGTCCTGTATTTCTGAATCCACTTAGAATGTTATTAGAACTGAAGGCTTCTCGTCATGCTATCATTAGAATATCGTAGAAGTTTGCTTTCAAAACTCCATATTTATGTCTCTCGAATCGTCGAGTCAATTCTTTCTGGTACTGGTGTTTATATGAATTAAAGACACTAACATCTAGTGGCTGCAAGCAGTATGTAGTATGCGGAGGAAGGCAGTATGGAATGATTTTTTGTGAGATGTAGAACTCAAGAAATTCCACATTAACGTGACTATTATGTCCATCAAAAAGTAGAAGACGAAAGTCCCCTTCTGCCTTTTGTGCTGATATACTGTTATTGTCGAAATTTCGTCTAAGATATTCTTTTGCCATATTCCCGTCCGTCCATCCATTGTGTGAACGTCCAAAAAGTATATCTTCGGGAACTCCTTTCATTTTTTTGAACTATTCAGCGATGAACTCTTCTGCTTTCAATATGATAGTTGGATTTAAAGCAGTTCCATCGGCACAGATTCCTTTAATCACAGTTACGAATTCTCGAGTACCATCTGTTAGGCAGAGATAACTTGATAGACTTCAAGATTGTCTAGGCCAATCGAGATTCATTTTTATAGACGGAGATTGTCTAGGAAGGCTCGGACTTGGCTTGTTTCATTTATGACTACTAGGAGCGAAGTAAAGTAGATAAAGTAGGGTAGAATCGTAAAAACAATATTATACTGTTAAGGTCTCTTCTCCGTTGCTTCGATGATGTCTAAAGCTTGAGAGGCACTTCGATATTTATATTCCACGTCTGAGTGTTCGCGGACTACATCTATCATACAACTATGTACTTCTTCAATTGTAATTCGCAACGTCAAGTTTTCTTCCAAGGTGCAAACACCTGTGGACCCTGAAAACCATCACATCCTCTTCGGTAATTACAATATTTCTTCTTAGGAAACGTACTGTCCCCAATCGTAATATCCTGATTAGCAGAGTTTTTAGACTTATGGCCTAGTTCTTAAGTTGAACTGAGTTGGCTCCAATTGTCTTTCGCCATTGATAAAATAATCAGTTTTATCCCCGGCTATATCTGCAAAGGTGGTCGTTATTACAACCATCGTAGGTCGTCTGACTCCGATCCTTTGTAACTCCATACTCAACCAATAGATTTTCACTGGATGACTTCCTATTAACTCATAGGAAGCTATTCCACCAGATTGGTAATTAATCCCTCGGTTGGCAACCCTTGGTTGCTCTCTGGGTAGTAGGTTTCAGTAACTATTGTAGTATTGAGAATCATCTCATGATTACGACGTATTCCGAAACCTAGTTGCAACTCTCCATAAAGTTCGTTGGCTTCTTTGGTAGTGTATTTTGGAGTTCTAGACTCTTCTGGTAGATGTAAATGTATTGGTCTCTAATAGAGATCCTTTACCATTTGATGCCATTTCTTTGTGCAAAATTGTCCCATTACTTATAGCCTGTGTCAAAGGTATCATGTCTTTGGAGCCAAGTAACCCTCTGAGTAGTTGACAGAATCACTCCATTCCACTTCCCAGACCTAGCCGAATGTCCCCTCTCATATAATCTGCGAACAGGATCCGGTTAGACAGAGGGCGACGACCTATATGGTGTTATTCTAACACCTTCAACTCTGTAGTAATATAGTCACAGGATGCAACTGAGATTGATATATATGATGACACGCGGGACCCATAAGAAAGCTGGAGGGGGGTGTTGGAGACCAGAGATTCCGATTCCGAGTGGGGTTACCCTACTTAGGGTGGTTCCTAGGTATTGGGTTCTGGTATTCCTAATACCATCTACTTAATTGTAAGTATTATATATATACTATTATCCTTTATAGATAGAAAACTAACTTTGTGCCCGATACTTCAATTCACCATTCTCCTGTGGGTTTCTTATCACCTCTAAAACTCGTTCAGACTGGCCCAAGCCCAGTAGGAATCCAACTTCATCGATATTGTACGTATTATGTGGCTGTATCTTATACTCTTGTACAATAGTTTCTAACTATATATATAAACAATTAATATTTAGTTTAAAAATATAAACATATAGTATACAAAAACATGAATCACAGAAGAAGAAGAAAAAAAATGAATCAATATGCAGTATATGTACATAGGGGGAAAGCTACCTCATCGAAGAAGTGATTCATTAATTGAATATCATTTCCCCTTAGATTCCATATGAAATCTAATTGCTTGCTAAACCTTGACTTTACCTCAGGGTGTCGTTTCTTAAATCCCTGTTCCCACCTCTTCCCAAGTACCTCATCTGGAATTCGTTTTCATATGATGCCAGTTGCAATTTCCCGCAATTGCCAAATTGTTGGAGGAAATCTAAGCCGGCAGCGGAAGTAGCAGCCTTCAACAACTGCTATCTCCTCCTCTGGTGAGAGCTTTGCCGGCGCTGGCTCTCCTCAACTCAATCCCTCCTTCCCTGCCGCCGATGCATTACGGTGGTTGCTGGAGCTCCTACCATCGCTGCCGCGATTGTTAAACTTGGAGCTATCCCATTTGAAGCTATCTCAATGGCCATTTGCTCTCAAACTCACACCGGAATCTCGCTGTCTGTTGGTGACATGATAGTAGTAATTGGCGGACAACATTGTCAATTTCATGAGCCTTACTTAAGATTTCATGACACAATTCACTTTACTAACTATTCTAGGATGCCAAGCTTTGCTGCGTCTTGCTGAGGGTACCGCCTCGCTGAGCCCTCACACGGTTTAAGCAAAAGCTGAGTTGCAGTGAAGGAGGAGGATACGGGCACACACGGTAATAAATTAATTCGCAATATTCTATCACTCTTTTTGAAGCTTTTTATTTTTATTATTATAAGGCCCTGTTCGGCAAGCAAGAAAAATGGTGTTTTTCTCTCTTTTATGCTATTTTTCTGCTCTTTTTTTTAAAAATAAATGGAGGCCTGTTCGGCATACCTATAAAAATGGCGTTTTTTTTAATGGAGTGGTATTTTTTATATAAAATAAACAGGGGATTAGGGTATAATAGAAATATAAAATTAAAATTAATGACATGACTAATACAATCTTTATGAGAGTAATAATAATTCCAGTGAAAGTTTCTATAATCCTTTTCAAAATATTCTGATTGATTCAAAGAGTAATTTACAAATGAATTTCAACATGTAGATATGATTGAATTCTACCAATAATTCGATCCAATCCGACCATGACAAATCTCTGCATTTCAAACTCGATGGAGGTTTATTACTCCAGGTATAAGAGAATTATGCCAAGCCATAAGTGTGTGTATAGTGGGGACATTTTATAAAAGCAGTCATTTTAACAACACGGTGTGCCTTGCTTTAGGTTTAAATAATTTATACCTATTATTTAGGGCGTATTTTGCTTACATATATCAGCTGGAAAAAAAAGAGAAACTATTGCCAAACACTATTTTTTTTTATAACTGCGTGCCGAACAGGGCCTAAATTTTTTGTTCGAACGGGAGTCGAAGAATTGGAGGCTGAATCAGAGTTCCGAACCTTTAGTTCAGTGTCTCAAATGGGAGGGGGTCGGGACCCTGGTTGTTGAGGTTCGGTAACGCTATGCAAAGCAAAGCATGATGGCACCCCCACAAAATTTGACCAGCGAACTAGCTAGCGGGCGAGCGAGCGAGCAGTGGAATTGCGGTATTTGGGGCGGTTTCTGTCATTGCATATAATTGGCTATAGTACTCCCCTTCAGCATCATACTGCTACGGTACTCGAGTATATGATAGGTATCATCGGTACGAGGATCTCGTACACCATTTACTTGTCGATACGGTACCATAGTGAATGAGGGCATTGAGAAGAAATGAAAAGGGTTAATTAATTGGACGATGCTCAGGGGAAAATAAATAAATATATCACACATACTGTAACTTAATGCAGCCACTAGATTTGAGCTTGGCGTGGACACAGACAGACAGACCCTTTATTCTTGCTCTCCCTACTCGAGTAAACTCTCGGTATTTTTCCCTTCCCTTCCTTTCCTTCCCTTTTTTTTCTTTGGCCATTTCTGGATCGGTGCACCCCCCTTTTTTCTCTGGAAAGTGGAAAAGGTCGAAGGTTGAGTTTGCATTTCTCTTTGCTTGGAAGAAAGACAGGCAGAGAGAACTCCCGCTGTTCATTGCACCGCACAATCCAGACCTACCAAGCTTTTCACACACACACATCCCTTTCCTGCTTTCTTTTTCCCCCTCTCTCTTCTGCCTCTTCCTGTTCCCAAGGCCAGCCCGAGACCTTTCCCTTTTTCCTCCTCCTCTTCCTCCACCTTCACCTTCCAACACAACCCATACCACCCCCATTCATCCACCTTCATCCAGCGCTTCGGGTTGTTTGTGCTGCCGGTGCTGCTTCCCAACCGTTACTTCCCTTTCCCTCCCGTCTTCATCCGTCGAGGGTTCTATATTTCATTCTCTCGTTGGTTGAAGGGATATAGCTCCTTCATTTTATTGCTTTCTACTGCAATTGTCGTGTTTACGTGTGTTTTTTCCTCTCTCTCCCCCCCCCTCCTGTCACTGATCTATCGGTATTGTGTGAACGCTTAGTTTACGTGTTCAATTCGTCCCTCCACCCCTCCTTCACTTACAGTATCTGCCTACCTTACACCCGCATTGTAACATAGCTTTACATCTTTGCTGACATCCGCGTTTCATCTCCAGATTCACCCATCCCAATCTTCTTCACACCCCTTTCTTTATAGCTTTGCTTTAAGAAACATATTTGAAGGAAGTCAAAAAAAGTATGGGTTAGTTCATTATTTTAGCTCCCCTCAACAACGAGGTATTAGAAGGGAGAGGCAGCAAGTGATTTCTCGGAATAGAATGGACGAGAACCAGAGCATGGGAAGGCGGGTGCGGATTGAGAGGGGGGGAACGCGCTTCTATGGCTGCTCGTCCAACACGTCACATGTGCCCTTGCTTAAGCTGCGTTATCTGCCATTCCATCGCCATCTCTCCTTTCCACACTCTTCTCATTCAGCATCTTCCCCTTCCTGATAATTTGCTGCCTTTTTCCGATTAATCGTTGCTATCCTCCTTTCCCCCGACTTGCACAATGTCGAAACTAACTTTTAGAGCTTCCCACAATTTAGCTGTATCCTCTGTCGCCGCTATGTCCACTCCTTCTTTGCCAGATTCTCCTCAGCTAGAATCCAGATTTTCTCCATTGTCATCCCCTCTTGTGCCCGTCGCTGCTCAGTCTACCAATCCTAAGCTTGCCGCTGCTCAGGCAGCTTCTGCTGATGCTAAGAACATCGTGAGACGGAAGTTGACTGGGTATGTTGGGTTCGCCAATTTGCCTAATCAATGGCATAGGAAGAGTGTCCGAAAAGGATTTAACTTTAATGTTATGGTTGTCGGTTTGTTCACCCCTTTCTTAGTTCACCATCGGAATTTTTCCGCCAGCCCCTGAATTGGGGGTCAGGATCGACAATCGAAACCGATAAGTGTGGCTTGTGCAATTGAGTGGCTGACAATTGGTCAAGGTGAATCTGGGCTTGGAAAATCGACTCTCGTGAATACTTTGTTCAATACCTCTCTATACCCCCCCAAGGAGCGCAGGGGACCTTCCCTCGACATCATCCCCAAGACCGTTTCAATTCAGTCGATCTCAGCTGATATCGAAGAGAATGGCGTTCGTCTTCGCCTTACTGTTGTCGATACCCCAGGATTCGGTGACTTTGTCGACAATGATGAGTCCTGGCGCCCAATCGTTGATAACATTGAGCAACGTTTCGATGCCTATCTGGAAGCCGAGAATAAGGTTAACCGAATGAATATCGTTGACAACAGGGTCCATGCCTGTGTCTACTTCATTCAGCCTACCGGACATGCTTTGAAACCCCTAGATATCGAGGTTATGCGAAGGCTTCATACCAAGGTCAACTTGATCCCGGTCATCGCTAAGGCGGATACCTTGACCGACGAGGAGATTGCTGAATTCAAGAAGAGAGTATGTTTACATTATCTCGATTCTATTCTTGGATAAATAACTGACAAATGCGGCAGATTCTTGCGGATATCGACCATCACAAGATCCAGATTTTTGAGGGACCCCGTTACGAGCTTGATGACGATGAAACCATTGCTGAGAACAATGAGATCATGTCAAAGGTACCGTTTGCTGTTGTCGGTGCCAACTCCGAGGTTACCAACGCGGATGGCCGTAAAGTTCGTGGTCGTCGCTACCCTTGGGGTATCATCGAGGTTGATAACGAGGAGCACTGCGACTTCGTCAAGTTGCGCCAAATGTTGATTCGCACACACATGGAGGAGCTCAAGGAGCATACCAACAACTTCCTCTACGAGAATTACCGTTCTGATAAACTCACCGCTATGGGTGTTGCTCAGGACCCAAGTGTCTTCAAGGAGGTCAACCCTGCTGTCAAGCAAGAGGAGGAGAGGACACTCCACGAACAGAAGCTCGCCAAGATGGAAACAGAAATGAAGATGGTCTTCCAACAAAAGGTTGCTGAAAAGGAGAGCAAACTCAGACAATCCGAGCAGGAACTTTACGATCGTCACAGAGACATGAAGGAGCAGCTCCAGAGGCAACGGTCAGAGCTAGAAGAAAAGAAGAGCAGGGTCGAGAGCGGAAGGCCATTGGAGGAAAAGGGGAAGAGAAAGGGGTTTTCGCTACGTTAAAGGCCATGGAGTCGTAAAAGCGGATTTCGGATGGTGGTGGAGTTGGGGAATAACAGCTGAAGTAATTATCCTGGAGAAGCTTGGGGACTACGACGTAACACTTTTGCATTTCCTTTCTCTACCTTTGGCCCGACCTTTTACAGATTCCCATTGACATTCATTTCGATATCTTTCGTTACTCTCCTTTCTTTCCCTTGGGCCTCTTATTATTTCTTTTTAGTACCGAATCTGAAGTCTCTCTCTCCTATCTCCTTTATCTTTTTAAATCCAAAAATCCGTGTTCGTAGGTATGCTTTGGACGTCCTGGTCTTATCATCTTTTTCGTTCTTATCACTTACTGTTTTCAATTCTGTGTACCGTGATTCTTAATCGTGAAAACGTTTTGTCGTAAATTAGCTAGCATCCAGAGCACTAGCGGAGGGTTTCATTTTCGTTTTCTTCTCTTTTCATTTTTAGCTTAACTGATGGGAAAAGGTGGTGGAGGGTGTGATAATGTTGATTTTTTTTCGTCCTTGTGCCGGGAATGTTCGGTGTAGGAGTGATTTTGTGAAGCCGTGATTTAGTGAAGCCCTGATTCTGTCATGTGGCGGTTATACCTCTCATGGACGGCCTGAGAATTTTGTACGGAGTAGACGATGTGCCCAGCGGACTTGTTGATCAGGTCTGTGCTTTTTTTCTAGGTACTGTAGTCGTATCATGCCGGGTATGCTCTGGTATTGCGGGCGCCTAGAATGAATGGTTTATATAATAGCGTGAGCGAATAGGTTAAAAATGTTTAGCATTCTCGTTGAGTCCAGTTGAAATGTGGTTTTGTTCGTTCCCCCGCCCTGCCCAATAATTATTGGCGATGTGGCTCGTAAATCGATATCAGTCGTACATTTTGATGCTGAGCAATCATGGGGGAATCGTCACGGTGGCTTCTTTTTTAGGCATGTCCTTTTATCTTTTTTTTTTTTTTTTTTCGTGGGACAACGAACGACTTGAGCGACTTGTGGACAGATGGCTTTTACTGAGTGCTAGTCACTGTGCCGGTGACAACGGTTTTGCAAGACATGTCCTTGATATTATGATACTATGATTAAGGGTGATGAGCACCACACAGGTAATTGAGAAAGAGCAGAGTCGAAAGATAAAAAGGCCCATCAATATGATACAGAGACACAGTAGATGAATTCTTGAGCACAGCTAGACAGATGGTAAATGCGTTGTTCGGCTTAGATATTGAATTGGGGATCATGTTACGGGTAATTTAGGTTCTGCTTATCACGGCAGCTTGTTCACCCGTTCAGGAGTTACAGGTATCCCATTGTAAAAGGTACTCGATACAGACTCTCTCCCTCCCCTTTCCCTCCTCCTAACTTTAACACAATCCTCTCGCCTTCTTTTTGTTCTCGTGAGTGAAAAGAAGAAAAAAAGGTATTGCAAGTATAGAGTATCTCTTGATCTAGCCCTAGATTGTGTGACGACATTCGCTAACCACCTTACCCTCAGAAGTAACAAGTTCCGTCGTTCTTCAACCACCAACCTCCCCTCCCTCTCTTCATCATCATCCTCCTCCTCCCCTTCTTTCTCCCATCCTCTCTCAACTCAACCGATAAAGCCTAGCAGTACCCTTAAACGACATATAAGCCCTCCCGAGAAACAATAATTAACAGAGAAGGATTAAAAAGGATTAAAAACAAAAAAAAATTACAACAATCATGGCTCCACCGCCAGAAGTTCCCCTCCCGCAACGGCTCATGGCTCTAGCACAGACTTTGCAGTTTGGTTGGTTCGTCGGGTATGTCTTTTCCTCCTTTTTCCTCTTCTCCCTCTTTCTTTCTCCGTCTGTTTCTCTAACAAACCGTGAATGGGAGACGACAACAGCCACTTCACCCTTCTCCTAACCACTCTCCGCTATGCCCTCGCAGCCGTAAAGTTCTCCACAAACACCCGAGTGGCCAGCGTCTGCTACCGTCTCGGCTTCCTCAGCGCGGCGGTGACTTACGGTATCGTCGTTTACAAGGCTTACCGACCGCGTGTTCGCAGCGGACAATTTCCTGGAGGGCAAGCCGGTGTTATGAAGGTATTGGCGGATGAGAATATCCAGTATTTATGTATATTATTACCCTTCTTCCAATTTCTCTCTCCGGTAGGAAATAATTGCTAACATGATGACCGTGGTACCGATGTGATAGTCATGGCCCTAATCTGGCTCTACTCAAAACCAATCTTCTACGCTCTCCTCCCATTCGCCGTGTACTCCACTTTCCACTTCTTAACTTACCTCCGCACCAACCTCTTGCCAACCATCTTCCCCCCTCCCCCCGCTCCTGCAAATTCCCCAGGGGGCTCGAAGCCGCAATCAGCATTCTCAGAGTCCATTGCAAAGTTTGTCAAGAACAACTATGACTACTCTATGCACCTGGTGGCGAATTTGGAGCTCTTCCTCTGGGCGCGCATCTTTTGTGGCGCCATAATCTTTAGGAACTCTTGGATCCTTTTGGCAATTTACACCATCTTCCTTCGCACGAGGTACTCGCAGAGCTCCTTCGTCAGGGAAGCATTGAGGGGGATTGAGGTTCGTGGGAATGCGCTCGCCGCGGATAACAATATCCCCGATGGTGTCAAGAACGCTTGGGGCACTATGAAGAGTAGTGTTAGGAGCTTTGGCGAGCTTACGGATCTGGGAAGGTATCTCGGCGGTGGTGGTGGGGCGGCCAGGAAGACACAGTAGAGAATATTAGTGGTGGATAGGTGAAAATGGGGTTGTCTTGTCAGAATGAGAGACGGGGGTGGTGGAGAGTGGAGTGGAAGCGGAAGTGTATTCGAGTGGGTATTTTGCAATGGAAACGTTGAATGAAATGTTTTTATTTCCTTTTCCGCTTCTTTCAACCCTTACTTTTTTTTTCTTTTTTCTTCAGTTGAGTTGGTTTTCACTTTCACGCTCCAACGTTAGTTGTATTTCTTTTGCCTATCCCTACGTCCGGTGCGGTGCGGCACTTGCTGCCAGTCAGTGGGTCATGAGAATGGGCATGCTTAATGCGGAGGGACAAATCCGACAAATCTCCAATTGTACCATCGTTTCATTCCATTTAATTGATTGTATCCATCGGATCCATGTCAAATTGTGTGGAAAGGAGACGCAAATACCGAGTGACACCCCATGTCCAACATCATATTGATCCACCTTTTTTCTCCTTCAAATACTCCCCCCCCCTCAACCCTCCGGATCAGCTCCTTCAACACCCCAGCGGCAAACTCAAAATCGCTCAACCCCAAGTAAATCTGGCCGTAGACCCTCACCCACCACTCCCCATCATAATTCTCCACCACCTTGATAAGAGTATCATACTCCTCAACCATGCACTTCGTCATGAAGTCCGTGACCCGCCTCGCGTGCGCCGCCTCCACATGAACCGCATCGCCACCACCACACCTAAGGCCGCGGCCAGACTCGATGGCAAGCATCGACAATGCCACATTCCACATCGCGCACGCATCCCCGCCCTCCCGCGCGAGGAGGTCCGCGCCGTCACATCCGATACTACTGCAGTAGCGCATGATGACATCTTCGCCACCGCACACGCGCTCCCGTCAGGATATTGCCGCGGAGGCGGTAGGGAGAGGGGTGTATCTGTGGGAAGTTGGTATAGGGGCGTGCAGTAGGGCGCAGCGGCGCGGGACGAAGAGCCATTTGTGGAGGCTGCTGAGGAAGAAGTCCCATCTAGGGATGCCAAATTTAAGGGGATTTGACCGATTCCGTGCGCGCCGTCGACGGGTGAGAGTATGTTCTCCTCTTTGCAGATTTTGGTGAGAGCGTGGTAGGGCAGGAGGATGCCAGGGTGGCAGGTCACTGTGTCGGGCATGGCTAGTTTTATCCTCCCCTCCTCGGAGGGTGTGTTTCTCGGGTAATGTTTTCCCGGAAACGGCGGAGTATCTCTCCGTTTGATGTTGGGAATATCAATGATATCTTCACATCCTTTGCTCCGGTGGTTTCCTCAATGTATCTTATCGTCTTCTCGTAGGCTGGGTACATAGAGCCGAAGTACAGGATCTTGTCCCCTGGTTTGAACCTTATGCTTCGCAGGACCGTGTTCACGGCTGTCGTTGCGTTCGGTACTAGCACTACTTCGTCCACGGACGGCTTCCCAGGACTTATCTAGTAGCGCAGGGTAGATGTGCCGGAAGAAGTGGTCTAGCTGCTGCTCGCTGAGGAGCTGCAATGTTTGTTAGGTTTGGCGGATGGCAGTTGGGACTGCGCCGAAGGTGCCTGGGGGCTTGTTAGCTGTGGGTGGAGAAGGGGAGGAGTGGGGGGGGAGAGGGAGGGGAAACCGTGGTTTAGGTTTATCCATTTCTCATGGAAGGAGAAGTATCATACTTCCTCATCTCGTGCCCGAATGCGGGACGGGGCTTGCTCACGCCGTCGGTGGTGGTGGCGGTGCTCGTTTCGGTCAGAAGGGTTTCGAACTGGGGGATTATGGTGTCCATGGTGGCTTGCTAATGTGTGTTCGACGGTGTGCTCGTAGTTATTGTTTGATAGAGATGTGGTGGAAGTGAAAGGTGGGAAGAATCTGGCTATACGAGAAAACATATGATATGCCAAGTACCGCCCAGGGTTTCCCTGAACCCGACCTAGTCTCATTTAACAACATTACCAGGGTCAAACATATCCGGTAGTTATGGTTTTGTTAATGTAGATAGAAGGGGTCTATCTCTCTATCATATACCAAATAGACATGTATTACAAAGTCGATATTATCTGATACTGCGCCGTGCCGCCCTAAACGCACAGCTACCACCTCACTTTCCTTCTTGCCGGCTGGGAGTCGGCGGGGGGGCGGGGGGACTGCTCGCTGACAACTCTAGAAGGGCGGAAGGCGAGTAAGGGGGGAAAGGGGAGATTTACATGCGAGTCCACTCACTCCACCGCATGTTGTGTGAGCCAACGCTGACCCTCAAAGTCTCAAGTGGGGGGGACTTGCCAATAGTCGATGTATTTGTCTGTTTGCAATCAAGGTATCATCATTCCTAGTGGTTACTGTGCGGGTGCATGTCGATCAACTATTGGCTTCTGGGAATAACCCCATCCTCTCCAAATCCCCGGAGCACAATCGCTCAACTCCCTTGGAAAGACTTTCGGAGGGGGGGGGGGGGGACTTGAATTACAAATAAAGTATCATAATCCAGTCACGATGCGTTTCCACTAACCAACCAACCAACCAACCATTCCCTCCACTTTCCGGAGGCGTAATAACCTTTCTCTGGTCACGATTCTTTGCACTACGATATCATGCCTTTGTCAATCATTGTGTCATGTGTTCTCACTCGAAAGGGTGGCCGTGCGCTTTCACCTGGTGTTGTGACGTTATAGCTGAGTAGAGGGGGGATGTCAGGAGTATCATAGTGGACGGATGGAAGTGGCAAAAGTGCAGTTCGGTTGGGGACGAGAGGGGCGTTTACCCCCCGTGTTTTGCGCGGTTCTTGTTGTTGGTGTTGTCGTTCTGGCTGGCTGCCTTTTTTTTCTCCTCGCTCGCTTTTCGGGGATGGTTTTTGTCGGTGTCGGGGGTTGGGTGGTGTTGTGTTTTCTCGAATCGGGAATGGGATCTGGAGGTCCTGGTGGTTAGATCCGGAGAGGGGAGATGGAATACGGATATATGAAGGAGGGGAAAGAAATGGAGATATCATATGATTCACAGGGTATGGGATGGGCGGAAGTGATTGTTGCTCCGGATTCATGGATGTGATCAGTGGCTTGTATCACTCACTCTCTTTAGATAGCTATGGGGGAGTAGGGGCCTAAGTCTATATATATCCCGTCTCGTGATACATGGGGAATATATTCAAGTATGGGACTCGCCATATTGGATTCTGAGATCATAATATCACGCGGGTACAAGTATGATACAGTACCGTACGGACAACCAAAAATCCCGCTGTTATGCCGTACAAAAAAAGGCCTCCTACCCCACACACATCCCACCGTAAACAGGAATGTCAAAAGACTGTTAGAAGATATCCTCGACACACACACACCTTCTGAGCTCCGAGACTATAGCCCGATGGATTGTGCATCATAAGCATCCCACTGGCTCATGAACTGGCCCGTGTCGAGGATCGTATTATATACGATATATACCATACATACTAGTGCATACATACCGAAACTTCGGGCCAACCGAACGACATACCATGATGCCTCATTCCATAAGCGATTGATTACCCGCGTGTTTGTTGGCGCGGTACAGTACGTGCACGGTCACTACCGAGTGGAAATTCGCCCACGCTCGGACGCTTTCAGCGAGCTTTCAGGTGGGTGCCTCCTCCCATGGGACATTGGGACTTCCAAGATGTGGAGGGGGGGGGGGGGAGTGTGTACGGTGCGAGCGAGCAACTGTACTCGTACAGTACAATCCGGTTCGTGGGGTCGTACTAGTACTGTACTGTACAGCGCCAGTAGAAGTTGTGGGATCCGAGGTCTCGGGCACACTGCGTCCCCGCTCGCGAACTGGTCCACACCACCCGTTACGTGAGTTGTTCCGCAGGTTTTCTGTTCTTGCCGTGGACGACTGTTCCCGCTGGCATCCCGCGGGACGCGGCGTATCGTCCGTCCTGTTTAGTTCAGCCTCTTGCCGGGGTTGAAATCTAATGGGATAGAAACTTCAAACAAGTGCACTGGTGTACAGCTCTAATGGCATAATTGTACACTGATGTGTTGATACAATTTCCCTCACCATGCGCCGGCGTAATCTTACAGTGTGTGGATTATCGAAAATGCGCTACTCAGCATTGGGTTAGAGGAGGGTTGGTTCCTATTGCATTGTATGTATATTTGGGGGCTGTGGAAATTGTTTCTTTGAAAAACTTGTCTTGTAGATTACTATGTGGGCACACTTATAATCTGCTCTGAGGTGGGGGTACAATTTAGAGGTTGGAGGTAAGATGGTGAGGTGGTGGGTTTGTCATTGGAAGTACTTGAGTGGTACTTTTTTCTGGATGGTGGGTAAATGTATAAAGAGGGTGGGAATGTGGGTATTGATTATAAAGGTGGGAGTGCAGACAGGATATAACTGCTTTGCTGAATGGGTGGGTTTCTAAGTCTATTGGTAAGGAGTGGAAGGGAAAGGAGTCTGTTGCGGGTGTTTCTGCTGAAGGTAGGTGTAGAGTATTTTTCTGTTCGATATTACTGGAAGAGGATTATTGAAGGGGGGTCTAGTAGGAGGAGGATGAAGGATCTCTGGATGCAAGGTTTTGTTGAGACTAGTCCTGGGGGAAAGGAAGGGACCTCTATTCTCTCTCTCTACATTGGTAACGAGAATTGGGAAAATTGTATGGGATGATTGGGTGTCTGTCTGGGTGCTGGGCGGATCGTCCGTAATTTCGTGCCGTGGTTGGAGGGGGGAGGGAGATCTCTGGGGCCCTTTGCATGTAGAGCGATAGTCTATATACTGGGGGGAATTTACGCTATAGATTCATTCACATTGGAAACATCCTCTGCAGAAATGGGAAATATGAAAGTTTACTCTTTCACTCGTATACCGGTAGTATGGGCGCCCAGGCACATAGTTTCACGGTGTCCAAGCCATTCCATCTTTACAAAAAGTGTCCTGATAGAATGTTTTGTCCAACGTGATCCTTTGCAACGGGTTTGGCGAAGAATCAGCGCTCTCGGAGAGACTACCTCTCACACTGCATAGTTGGAAACGATTGGAAATTTGATATTGTCCGGGGAATCCCTTTGTACTTATCTCCATAGAAGCGCAAGCAGAGGAAAGTTGGGATTGAGTTCACAACTTACAACTGTATTGCTTTGTATGAAACTTACTTAGAACTTGTATAATGTGGGGGTTTATATTAATATGTAGAAAAATTTACAAGAACTCCTATACCTCCACTCAATCTATATATTTCTCCATGGGATTATAATTTTTAAGAGTTCTGTAAAGTTTGATGTTATCCACAGGTTTGATAACAGCATGAGGTTTTTGGTAGGGGGGATGAACTCCACAACAAACATGTAAATCTGAGAGAAAAGGTCAGAATTCTGTGAGATATACATACAATCCGCGCGCTTCCGGGAACGCCATTTCCCGCTTCGGAAGCCGGGGAGTCAAAAGAATA